ACGAGGGAAGGCCACCAACTGCCTCCTCGCTTTTGAGCTTAAACTCAGTTGACAATAGGTAATCGAACGTGCTGATTCCGAATATCACAATGGTTTTTGCCCGCTTTCGATTTAAAGACCCGTTTTTCAAAGATCTTGGTTTTTCGATCGAAAAACCATTTTCACTAAAAAATTTCCTTGACCTGTCCAAATGAGAGAGCACGTCGTCAAACCTACAGAAAACAATTTTTCAAGGTTCTAAGCGAGATTCTGAGGGAGTCTTCTACGTCTAAAACTTAAAAAAAGAGAGAAAAACCGCTAATATTCTTACACAATTTATCACTTTTTGTGGAATTTTTATCAACTTTTTGTAAACTAAACTGTCCAGATCTTGAGTCTTCTGTCATGATGTTCCAAATATTTTCGAAAATGTGGAATATAACTTCTGTCTGGGATTATTCAAAATCGGTGATGGATGGCTTTCCAAGATCTCCCATGTTTACTTCCCGGACCTGCATGATCAATAAAATTGATAACCTGACGCGTAAACTCTTATGAAAAGCTTCTTAAGTTATATTTTTCTTAAGCTAATTCTTTGTCCTTTCAATCTTCATCCATTTCTTCACTTTCTTTCTCATCCAGCATGGACTCTTCCTCCTCTTCACTCTCTTCATCGTCGGTATAACGGCCGAAATCTAAAGTTGTTTCTTCAACGTAATCAACTTTTTGTCCACTGGCCATTAATTTAACAGTGTCAGCTAGATGTTCGGCCATTTGTCGCTCCTGTGATTTAATCGGAGACTGTTGTGTAACGGTTGAATTATTTGCAATTAAATCACTCAAAGCCGAAACGATGCTCTGCGCATTCATTTTAGTTTATGGGAAAAGAGTGACGAAATCTGTCGAAATGGTGTTACTGTAAGCCTTGTTTTCTCGTCCGCTGGAACAGACATATTCTCATATTATTCACTCCCACAAAATACAAGTATCAATTGCAAAAATAATGTATGTTTCGCTCAACTTTTAGTATCTCTATACGTAGCAGACTATCTGTCTTGCATTATATGCCTTACCTTCAACTGTAACCAACCAGTGAAAATATATTATTATCAGGCCAGTATATTGCTACTGTATAAAGAAAAAATCAGATTACTAATAAAAGAAAAATGTTCTATTCTACTGTCCCATACGCTCAGAATCACCTCCTTTTTGAAAATTCGTTTTTACTGCACTATCTCACTTTGATTCGGAAATAAAATTGCAGAATGGTCGGCAACTTATGCTTCCATCCATTTCGTCCTTTCAACATTTTCAGTAAGAAAGAGACGAGTGTCATTGATAAACTGAAAGTACGTTTCATATGGTATGACGTAAATTTGAATGAATACCTTTTGAAAAATGGAGGTTTAGAATTACGTGTATCTTTTTATTTTTCACCGTTATAACAGTTGTATTACGACAACTAAACGTGCATATTTGTAAGATAATTTATTTGATACAAATTCGTATCATCGAAATGTTTTGTTAATTGGTGTACGTTTGTAGGCTCAATTGTTGTATGCGATAACTCAAAGTAAAAGTTTGATTCAAACGAAAAATGAACTGCTGATGACTAAAACCATACGCATTCTGTTAAATAGTCAAAATGTCATTTACCAACGAAATTTACAATAGTTCAATGCAGATTTGATTTATAAACTCTTGAATTTGCTTCAAACTTTATCTTTTAACATATTCTGTCATAACCGTTTAAATTTTTTGAATCCATTGTGGAATTACAAAAATATAACTTACTAAATAAATGACTACTTCTGCATCACTTCACCTCATATTCCCAGTTTTGATAATGATCGATAGAAATTTCATCGAGAACCTCATTTAAGCCAGAAGCCTTTTGCAAACGCCTTTGAATATCATCTCTGCGACCTACAAACGTATTACTAAGGAGAGCACATCTCTAAGTGTCATTTTGAGATTTTGTCGGAAAATATTGTCAGTGCTGAACACGAATATAATACTTTTAGCTGCCACCGTAATGTGGTTGATGAATTAGAGCAGTCTGCATTATTTTTGGTAGAAAAATTCTTAATTTTCAATCAACCATATTGTTTGATAAATACATCAGAAAAGCTCATTGAACTGTTCAATGAGCTTTTCTGATCAAGATCTTTCAGATTGTTGAACAATCTGAAAGATAAAAAATCATATCATAAAAAAAAACAGAGCTTCATACTTTCGAACGTTACCCGAATTAATACCCGTGTCATATCAAGGCTCACGAAACTGTACATCAGAAAGTGTCATTAAAGTCTTTAAACGTGCCGACAAATATATGCAAGCAAAAAGTGATACAAAGCAATTTTTACCAGTGGTTGTCTTCGACGAGTAGAGAATTTTAAAATCAATGCTTACTAGTCAAGGACAAACTGTTCGGCTTAGTGAGTCAATAATCGATGGTCTTGTCGATGCCTATAATGATTTACATGAGCACATTCATAGAGATGAACAATACAATAATTATTTTGGTTTGCGTGACTATTACTCATTAATAAAAGGCGTTATTCAAGATGCAATTCAAACACAAGAAGATCCTTATGTGTGCGTTCGACGCCAGTTATCGGTTGATTTTGATGGTATTGTTGACGGTTCTCGCTATATGTAGGGAAAATTTTGTCAATATATAAAAAGACATTATTTAACAAATAGTTATGCATCATCGAAATTTAAAACATTACTCGATCAGTGTTTGACAAGACGCACTGGACGCTATCTGATGTTAATTGCTGAAAAGGAAAGTGTCATCGATTATGTCGAACGATATATCATCGCTCATCATCAGTCGCAACCGGTACGCATATTGATTGGTAGTTGTTCTCCAGGTGATTTAATTTCAGGCACAACCTACACTGAACAATATAACTATCGAGTACTCATGGATATCATTCTTTATGTGGAAAGAAATACCAGATTAGTTCTGCATCGAATGGGCCATCTTTATGACGATCTCTATGATTTATTCAATCAAAATTTTGCCGTATCAGCAGGAAAAATATTCTGTCACATTCCACTTGGTCCTCTCTATCATTCAAGATGTCTTGTCAATGATGATTTTTACTGTGTGGTATTTGTTCAACGACAAGATCTACCTAAATGTGATCCACCATTTCTCAATCGGTTTGAAAAACATATCATCGATATGGATAATCTTGTTCATCCACATCAAAAAGCAATAACATCTGATCTACTTGTTTGGCTTGCCGAGTTATTATCATCTAATACTAATAAACACTTTCCACTTCTTCAACATTTATTTATTAACTACAATTTTGATTATATCTGCAATTTGGTCATTGATGCATTTGATCATCTGAATATTCCAACCGATAGTACAAATGATTATACAGACATTTTGATGACTTATTGTAAAGAATAATCGATTTTGACCAGTTCATTTGATCTTCCTCTAATATTGTCATTACGATCAGATGATAAGGAAATTATTCATCCATTTATTCATCAATACTGTGATATACATGAGCATCTCTCAGTTTCGAGCATTATTAAGAAAGCAATGGCGGTTAAACAAATGGCTATACAGAATCAAGTAGTCTATACTTATACTCAATTACATGATATGATAAACTTTGGTGAAGAAAGTAAAAATGTTGAAGAAATCAAATTAAGTCATTTCAAACTTGAACTTGAGTTAATGAAAAAAATCTGCTTACATTATAAACCAACTACACAAGCACGTTTATTACTCATTCGTGTTGATTATCATTTTGAACAAAAACACATCCTTTGTCTCAAATATATTTTATACAATCATCGTGTGGACACCAGTGATCAAGGCGTTTGGATTGTGTTTCATCTTCAACGTAATCTTCTCAATCAAGTCACCAACGATGTTCTATTCAATGGTTGGGATATAGTGATGATCGAAGATCTTAATGAACATAAACTCATTCCTCAAGAAATCCTTATCAATCCATCGTATCTTCAGCTTATCGCTGATGATCGATTTCGTTTTGACGAATGTACATTTGATGAACGTATTAATCGTTGTTTTACTAAATTTCGATACATTGTTTCTTGTAAACAATATGAACATCATATTAATGATCGTCTCGATTATCTTCTTTTATCAATAAAAATAGAAAATTCATCATTACGTTCGATCATTCAATCTCATCTGCAAATACTACAAACTACTGTTCAGTCAAATTCTCAAGATTGGCAACGAGATCTTCTATACAATGAAATAGTTATTGGTTCGTCTTGTTCAGTTCTCTATGCTATTCAACAAACCATATCTTTATTCTATGATAAATATCTCTTTCTTTTATTTAGTCACTTGAAAAAATTTTCATTTATCGATTCCTATCTATTTTTATTTTCAAATACGGATTCACATATTCGAGAATCATTAGAAAAAATATGGAAGGAATGTTTGATATCAACATTCAAAACAATTGATATAAAATGATGAATGTAGATCTTATAGAATTACCGCTCATTTTTTATTTACGTTTACCATGTGCAAGAGTTGAATATGAAAATATTCGTCGAATTCGAGAACTTTTAATAGAAATGCCTCAAGATTATAATGATATGTCTGCGGACAATAATGATAATATACTGGATAAATTCTCAATCAATCAATTAAGAAACAAAAGTATTTACAAACAGAATTTTGAGATCATTATCAATGATGTAAATCTATTGAAACATTTCTACCATGATCAAATTTCATTGGCACTCGATGAAGCAAAACTTTATCAATTGTCCACCTCATTTGTACTAAAATTACTTACATCAAATCCTACTCGATCACCAATAGATTTACTCAAACATTTACTTGATAATCATACTGAATTAATTGAATTGTTACGTATGTTCGAGGCCGGTTTAGAACTTGTCAATGAAAAGAAATTAAGTTCCGAGATATTTCAACAACAATTTATTACAAGTAACAATACTTCAGCAGCTCCAATCAACAATCCAAGTAACTTTTATCATCGTAAACATTTTTGTGTGATTCCACCATGAGCATTTGAATTGATTAAGGAACAATTTGAATGTGCAGGTGATCCATTTATTGAAATTAGTTTGATGAATCTGATTGAACTGATCATTTCACCTTCATCGATTGGAAATGTAAAAAATATTGAACAAGTGAGTACGGCTTATGGACGAATCGTTTAAGGTGCTCTTTCACTTGACAATTATTATTCTGTTAATAATCTTGAAAAATTACATTCGTTTACTAGTCTTGTTCGTTGTATTATAACTTTACTACCGAATGATAGAGCCTTATCTGTTTTCCAGCAAGCTTGTCGTCGTTCCAATTATGATGTGAATTATGCAACATGTGATGAAATTCATAATTTTATTAATGATTTAGGTGAAATGATTAATTCAAATTTAGAGGAAATAAACAATATTAATATTGTTCATGATCCATTAGTCAAACTTGAAATTGAATTCATGAAAAATTGGCTTGTTGATCATGGTGATCAGTATACTGACGTTTTCACTTCAATCAGCCAACCCAACAGTTATTTATAGAAATATTCAGCTAGAATATGCAATGTTATCAATCGAAAACTTAATCTATTATCGACGATTAGAAGGACTAATGAACAAATCCCACAATATGGTGATGAAATGGAACAATTTGATCAATATTTAAATCAATTGAATGATCCAACACGAAAGATCGAACGTTTAATGGTTAATCGTATACATATGCATCTCATTCTTGATGTTCATGAAGATAAAGTTATTGAAGCTATACTTCGAAAAGACTTTGTGCGTTTCAAAGAACGTATTCAACAACTTGTAAACGAACAATCTGACCATGGTTCGACATTAATTGGTTTAACAGCCTGGCTAAAATACTATGCTCAATTGTATGCATTAGCACTCAACAATGATAAGAAAGCAGAGGTCATGAACAATATCGATCAATTATTAACTCGAGATAATTCACAATTTTGTTCAACCCTAAAATTATTTGTAACCAAACAACTTTGCCAATTTTTTAAGATCACACTCAAAGAATTACGGGATATATTTATTAATCGTACTTGTACATGGATTCGTCAAATGATTACCAAGCCAAATGGTCAACTAGCACAAGAAATCCGACCCAATATTATTTTACCAACACCACTATTTCAGTTTCATAAAGAATTTATGCGTATTAATCAAATACTCTCCCATAGTACCAATAGTGATCATGTGAGACAATTAATCATCGATTGTTCGACTAGACAAGATTCATCATATTGTTTTATCATTTGGTTTATTCAATTCTATTCACATTTCTGCATACAAGATATGCCATCCGATAGTAATCTTAAACAGTTGATCGAAGGAAAGCTCAGTGAAGTGCTTATCAATTGTTTCGAACCCATCGGCTACCGACTACTTGTTGGTTTATGTAATAATTTCAATGATAGTTCATACTTCTCCTTAGAGCCAGACATGAATAGGACCGAAATTCATCAACAAATGATCGTATTAAATATTGTTGCTGTGCTACTCTCCTTCAAAGCCGTTGGTCAAGCAAGTTGTCTTGATACTCTTCTCTTTGATAGAAATCTCAAAATGCCTGAGAATTACACGCAATATTTACAGATATGTGTCTCCTTACCCGGTCTTATCACAAATGATCCAATCGTTACACAAATGATTGATGTACACACACAAGTTCAAGAACGTTTGGGGCGAAATAAAATAAGTACAGGAGAAAGATTCATTTTCCGATGCTCGAGTGAATATCTCTGGATGTTCTATTTTGAAAATTGCGGTCGAGCTAATGATCGAAATCTATGTCCATTATGTCGAAAAGAAATAGGTGCTGTGAAAGAAGGTGTTCTCATTGAACGTCATCCACCACAGATTCAAATGTCATAATGTTCCTTCGACGACGACCGCAAAATATCGTTTACTTTGAACTTAAATGACGATATGTGCATAAAAGCTAAAAAATTTCAATAAGTCACACAGAATTACTTCGAAAAATCAATTGCCAGCAGAGGTTATCTTTTGCATTGTTTATCAAAGGAAGATCTTCTTATTACAGGAGAGTCTTCTGATATGCCGAAGGCTTTACTATATTCGCTTTCTACATGAGGACTTTAATAGCGAAGATGAAACAGTGTCACTAT